CAACCAAACAAGATGTAAGTAGATTTGATTTTATATCTTCTTGTGTTTCGAAAATTGTTCATAATTTGTTTGTAAATGCACATGATCATTTGTTTAAATGGGTCGAAGATGGTGTATACGAGGAGGTTGTTGATGCTCTTCCAAAATTCTCCATCATTGACAGCCAAATAGAGAATGCCAAATCGGAAGTTGCTGTCGAGATTGAAGAGTTAAAGGTCATGATCAAAGAATTGAAGGAAGAAGGAATGTGGAGCAAAAGGGAAATAAAGAAATGGAAAACGATGATCAAAGTGTGTTTAGTGAGCCTTTGTGTTGCTGTCATTGTCTTTGTTATCCTACTGTTTGGTGTTGGAGACAAAAGACATAAGTTAGTTCTTGGTTACTAGGTGTGCATTAGTGTCTTATTTGGTTTGGGTCTTTGTCTTTGGTCTTGGTTCATGTTTCTCTCGTTTGTGCCTTCTCTTGTTTTAGTTTTGTGTTGTGTCTTGTTTGTGTCGTGTCTTGTATGAGTTTGTATCTTTTGCAATGAAATGGTATTTCTGAAAATGAGAAGTTAAGAGAGAACCATTGATAGAACCATTCATACATTACAACAATGATGTCATAGACACAAAAAGAAAGCCGAGTGGAAGATCATGTCATAAAGACAAGTTCAAACAACAAAAAAGAAAGCCGAGTGGAAGATCATGTCATAAAGACAAGTTCAAACAACAAAAAGAAAGCCGAGACTAAGCTTATGTCAGCCAACAAAAATATACCCTGACTAAGCTTAAGTTCATACAAGAAAAAAAAAACTGAGACTAAGCTTAAGTGGAACACTCAAACCATGATGCCAATCCACCAAGTCCTTGTGCTTGTGCTTGGGGTTGTGCTGCTACTTGTGCTTGTGCAGATCCATGTCTTCTATCAGGTTGTTCTCTTTGTGATGCTCCACTTGATGCCATAGATCCTTGTGCTCCATGACCTGTTACCCTTTGTCCTTCTGATCCAAGATGAACCTTTGATCCGTGTACTTGCTGATCTTGTGATCCTTGTAGAGGTTGTGATCCTTGATAAGATTGTGATCCTTGATAAGATTGTGATCCAAGCAAATGTGGTTCCTAAGTCAAATGTATGAGATTAGAAGACATGATTTAAGTGAGCTGTCAAACACAAAAAAAGCATAAGAGTCACTAACCTGATTTTTCCTGGGATGACCTCTTGGTCTCTTTGGTTGATTATTCAAGACAGTTGCATTTTTGCAACCCTGCTTGTTGTGTCCTTCTTGCAGGCAGTTAGAGCATGTCATGATTCTCTTTTTCCGGGACATCTTGTTCTTACTTTTAGAAGAGACAGAGGCAGTTTCATTTCTTCCTTTCCTCCTAGCATAGTTACTTGGCCTCCCTGAGTTGCCTTTTCTCCATGGTGGTGGCAAGACAGCTAGCCTATTTGTTCTAGGCCACAATGGCATTCCCTGGACAGGCCTTATACCCTTCCTATAAGTTTCTCGCCATCTTACCTTAGTGTAATAATCACTTACATAGTCTTCAACTTTTTCTTTTCTACCTATTATCACACAAGCCGCATGAACACAAGGGATCCCAACCATCTCCCATTTCCTGCAACCACAAGTTTTCAACTCCATATCAACAAAGTAGCCAACACCATTCACATATATCTCATGCAAATTTTCGCTGGCCATATATCTCTCGCAATTACCAACCCCAGCTATTATCTTCTCAATCTCTTCATGAGCTCTCTTTGTGAACCTTGTCTTCAACTTGTCAGCAATAAGAAACCTCTTTGCAGTTCTGACCATACATTGCCTCCTGATGTCCTCTAGCAAATCCAGAATTGGCTTCCTCCTGGCCTGTCTAATAGTCCTATTGAAAGACTCACTTAGATTATTTAGGTTGTCATTGCAACAGGTACCTATTCTGAAGAATGCTCTGGACCATGTCACAGGACTAGTACGTTGCAGAGATTCATAAGCCTGGCGATTGTACAACTTAAGCTCCTCCTGGTGATTATTGAACTCCTCTACAGTGTAGCTGCGTGTTATCTTCCAAAATAGACGATGAAGCTCTATATCATGGCTGTCTCTCTTCCAATTATCCATGATGTATTTTGAACATTGACGATGCTCAGCTTGTGGAAGTATGGAGTGGATAACTTTGACAAGACCCTGCAATAAGACATAGCTTACAAACCTTAAATAAAAGAACATAAAGAAATCACAGAACATAATACAAACTTGGATAAAAACTCACCGATTGTTTATCTGAAATGACTGCTAGATTTTGCATTTGACACAGCCCCAAACTTCCAGCTAGTTTTCTCAAAAAGAAGTCCCAGTTATCATCGTTTTCTATCTCCACAATTGCCCAAGCAATAGGAACTATCCTATTATCACCATCTCTGCCAACTGCAGCTAGAAGGTGACCTTTTATATCCCATTTTAGAAATGCTCCATCTATTCCTATCACAGGTATACAAGTCATTTTCCATGATTCTTTTTGAGCTTGAAAACAAATGTAAAGACGATAAAACCTTTGCTTCTGACCAATGGCTGCCCCTGCAATAGTATCTATCTCAAACTCTGTCCCTGGATTCTGCTTTAACACCTCTGCTTGATAATCCCAAATTCTTGCAAAATGAGCATCATGGCTTGCATGTCTAGCTTTCAGCACTTTAGTCTTGGCCTTAGCACACTGGTCTAGAGTCACTTCCAACTTGTATTCCCTCATAATCTCAGCAGCCATCTCAAACTTGGTAAGCTTTGGATTCACTCTCAGCATTTCCTCAAACAACAAAGCAATGGAGGACCTCTTCAACATCTTCGAATATCCTGACCTTACACATACATGCTCATTGATATATCTTTTTATTTGCATCTTATGCTTCCTCTTCTCATATGCACAATAAACTCTCCATGGACATGCAACACCTTCATCATCTACATAACAACACTTCGCAGCAAGAACCATAGCTTCAGACCTAAAGAGCTTAATGTCATACCTTGTCTTTAAAGAGTACATCAAAAGTGCAAGCTTGAAGTCTTCAGGAGAGTTGTAAGTTTTCTCTAATTCTAGCAAAACCTCTGGATCATCAGCACCTCTACCAGCTTCCTCTTCTCTAACTCTGTCTTCATCTTCGTCATCAGATGACAAAGGATCTGGAATCTTGTCTTTGTCCCATATATCATCTCCACTATCCGAGTCACTACCAGCTTCATCTCCTCTAACAGCCTCTGGGAAATCTTTTGCAATGTTGAAGTTAACATCTTCTTCAACAGCTGCTGCATCATCATCGCTATCTCCACCACTTGTTGCATCAACACCACCATTATCATCATTACTTTCACCACCTGCTACATCGCAGTCTCCGACAACCATATCTGATTCGTTTGGAGCTTCAACTCCAGCATTATCATCATTACCTTCACTAACATCACCGCCTACTGCGTCATCAACAGCATCGCAGTCTTCATCACCATACACCGCACAATCATCTTCAATGTCAGGGACGGGACTGGTTCCTTTTCAGGATCTTCATCGTCCTCTAAGACCCTGAGTTTTCTTCGTTTTCAACGCCTGCCTCGACCACGAGCTTTGTTTCCACCACCTGTCTCTGAAATGTCTTCCGCCGGTGGAGCTTTAACTCCGTCTCCGACAACCATCTCCGATTCACCTCGAGCTTCAACTCCAGCACCCACAACACACTCTGCTTCGCCTCGTATAGGAGATCCAACACGCACTATGACGCCATTCTTCCTAACTAATACCATTAGGGAAGACAATTTGAAGATTTCGGATTTCTGGGATTAGGGTTCTTAATTTGGGGATTTTGAGAAATTAGGGATTTCAAAATCGATTTTGGGGATTTAGGAACTTTGCTTCTGGCTAAAACGACATCGTTTTCGGGACTAACGGAGACCTGTTAACGGGTGCGAACAGCCGTTATCGGCTCAGTTAGTGACTGTTAACGGTGTGTCGTTTTGGCGTAGTCAACGAAGACATTTAGTTAAAATGGTCGGTCAACGTTAAGTTCGTGTTTAAACTGGCCACATGAGAAGTTCACGTATTAAACGGCTATTTTTTTAAAGTTCAGCAATTAAACGACATTTTTCCCTATAACTAAGTGTCTTACCTTGTTTTCTCTTTAGCAAAAAAAAAAAAAAAAAAACTTATTCTGTCTTAACAACTTAATTGGTGGCAGATATGTCATAAAATGCTTATTTTTTTTTTTTGTAAAAAAAATCTCTAATGACCGAGTTACTACGTATGTCCCATATCTCAACCACTCCAACGGTCTAAATAAAAGAAACATTAGTGTCTCTCCAAATTCATATCCACATACATTTCTGACTGGTGTTTTAAAAGATATTTTGTGGTAAGTCCTAGCATCATTATTATTGTATGGTAGTTTTCTTTCAATTCATTTATTGTTCCAGTGACTGATTGTGAATAATACAGATTTTGTGAACAGTTCGGAACTACTGAACTCCGATCCCACGAACATGGAAAAATATCTTTTGAGAAATTCGAAATCGGGTCCGGTAAAACTATGACCACACCTAACAACACCTCTCTAATCGATTGAAGATAAATTTGTTTTATTATCGATATTATGGTTTTACTAACTGTTATATATGCTGTGAAAATATTCTAGGGGAAAATGCTTCAAAACATTTCCTATTACTTATGTTTTAATTTTTTTATATGTTAAAGTAAATTATTTATATTTTTTCAAATTTATTTTGTTATAGTGAAAATTCATTAGTTGATGGGGACAAATAAACTTTTTTCATTTTCGACAAGATACAAAAATATTCATTATTTATATGCGTTCACGTTAGGTGTAGGTTTGTATTTATTTGATTCATGTTTGGATGTTATCAATCCGGTTTTGGTTGATGATGTGAATGGGACTGCGTTCCTACGACATGTTTTGATGTAAATTTTTTATTCTTTTTTAAAAAACCCCTCTTCCGACCAAAAAAAACAAAGGATACAAAAACAAATATGGAAAAACACACACATTAAATATGGACAAATTTAAATTTGAAACATTATAAATGATTCCAGACCAATCCAAATCTAACCATTCTTCATCTTGCCAAAAAAACACACAAGATTTCCATATATCAGATGTCTTCCTCTAGGTCTCACTAATTAGGGATTCTCTAATGGGTGTTCTTAGCATGAAGGGTGGAGATGGAGAGCACAGTTATGCAAATAATTCCGAGGGGCAGGTAAGCAATTCTCTATCATTTTTAAGAAAATTTGAACAACAATTTTGATATACATGCTTTTTTGGTTGCTTATTTCCTTTGTTGGTTTAAGGTTTTTAATAGTAGTATATAACTAAACTTAAGTTTTTTAATTCTTAGAAAAGTGTTGCTTCTAATGCAAAACCGGTGGTGGTAGAAAACGTAAAAGAAATGATAGTGAAAATGGATTTTCCTAGTTGCATCAAAGTGGCCGATTTGGGATGTTCATCGGGGGAAAACACATTAGTGGTCATGTCCGAAATTGTCAACACGATCATAGCAACATATCAACAAAAGAGTAAAAACCCACCAGAGATCGTTTGTTGTCTGAACGATCTTCCAGACAACGACTTCAACACTACTTTCAAATTAATCCCTGCCTTCCATAAGAAGCTGAAGATGAATGTTAAAGAAAAGTGCTTCATCTCAGGAGTCCCAGGCTCATTCTACTCAAGACTCTTCCCTAGCAAGTCTCTTCATTTTTTTCATTCATCTCTTTGTCTCCACTGGCTTTCTAAGGTTCCTGATGGGATTGTGGAAAACAAGAAGAACATTTATCTTAGAAGTCCTTGTCCTCCAAGTGTGTACAAGAGTTATCTAAATCAGTTCAAGGACGATTTCTCTTTGTTTCTAAGAATGCGTGCAGAAGAGACAATGCCTAATGGGCGTATGGCTCTCACTTTGGTGGGTAGAAAAGCAGTTGACCCTTTATCCAAAGATTGCTTCCAAAATTGGTCTGTTATATCTGATTCCCTCGTCGATTTAGTCTCTGAGGTACTCACTATAATAAGCTCATCTTTGTTTCCTATTTTATACTTGTTTGATGTAGACCTAACTAATCATAGTTATAATACGTTTTTATTCATTAAATTTGTTATAATAAGGTTTGGGAGGAATGTTTTGAGTGCAGGGGGTTGTGAAGGAATCAGAAATGGAATCTTTCAACTTGCCATTCTACAATCCTGATGAAAGCGAAGTTAGGAAAGTTATCGAAAACGAGGGCTCTTTCGAGATCAACAATTTTAAGACAATATTTGGACTTCTCTTTTCATACAAAACTGGCCTTACTGAAGTGAAGGATGATGATCTCGATCGATTTGAAGTCATTAAAAAGAGGACCAACATCATAAGATCCATCACTGAACCAATGCTTGCTGCTCATTTTGGAGACACCGTCATGGATCGTTTGTTCGACAAGTATACATATAATCTAGCCCAACGTTACGATACTTTGCGCAACATACCAACGGTTCAATTCTTTGTTTCGTTGACTAGGAAGTAACCGACCGTTGATGAGACAGTAAGTGAAAGAAATCGAACCTACGATATCAAGACTAAATTTTCTTTTTTAATTTGGTATTTTGCAAATAATCATCGTGGAGCTTTGTTCCTTGTTTATCAATTTGTTTCCAAGTTTGTAGGGACAATTGTTCCATTTTCTCTATTTAAAAATAAAACAAAAAGGCAGATTGCATTTGCCTAAAAATTCTTATCTGATTTTTCTTTACTCTTATCATTTAATATAAGAGCATGTTTTGGTTTTGATCTGAACACCACAACTTATGGTATCAAATTGCCAGATTGCCGTTCAAATTAAACATTTTTTTGCCATTGGGAAAAGAATAAAGCATAAATGAAATTTGAAAGATAATTAAGAAAACATTATGAAGTCAAATTAGCACCATGACCACGAAACTTGGAGGATAGGTCCAAGTTTCAGCGAACCTTGATATTAAAGGGAACTTATAAATCGTATGGATTAGATGACGAGAAGGTAGTGAAATCTGCCTCCTATTGCGCTCCTTCCAAACATGATACATTGTTGTTTGGAAGGAAATAAAAGGTAATGGTATAAAAATTGTGAGTGGTGAGGTGGAAGAGAATAATGAATCATTCACAACTAATCAACACGAGTCTCGAATAAGTTGCTTATACCATCTACCCATATTGTGTATGTGTAAGCACATGCAATATATAGGTGAACTCGAGACTCATCAGATTCAACACAAAACAAACAAAGTTCATAATAGGGAAAATGGTAACTAGTTTCATGAAGTATAGATCACGGCATAGTCACACATGCAGACTAATTTAATGTCTTAAACTACACGAACAATTGCTAATTTACGGTGATATCACCAATTATAACATAAAACATGTGCGCAACACCATAACCATTCATTCTAGTAATGTTCCTATCTAATAAACGACGTTTTTCGGTTTGACCGATTCAAAAAATATTTAAGATGATTTATTTGAGATAAAATTCAAAATTAATAAAATTGCAAAATATTTAACTAAAAATAAGTAAAAAAAAAAAAGAGAAAAGAAAAAAATTGTTCTCCCAGTCCTGTTGGAATCTTCATCTTCCTTCGAGATCTTCATCCTCATGTTTCTCCAATAGCTCTACTACTTCTGTCGATGGCCAGAACTCTCAGCCACCAAAACGATCTCGTTTCACCTATTTCAGTCCGATTCAATTTCTCCATTTTATGTTTGTTTTTCCTTTCATTTTTAAAATAAAGAGTTATAGCTAAATATTCATAAATGTTTGTTCAGAAACCTATAAAAACTCCAAATACTATAACTAAAAAAAAATTAAACACCAATATTGCATAAAACCTTATCTAAAAACATAATAAAAATGGGCAATATCTGTTCTCAGATACTTGATACTAATTATAGAAAAAAATAATCAAAAAACTTAATGTATGATTTTGATGTTTAATTAAAATGATTGACCATACATTATATAGCTAAGTGATGTTTCTTGATTCTTTTAGCAACAAAAGTCTCTAGCCAAACTTCAGTCTTGATTAAAAAATCGTTTCAAACCTCTCGGGACTGCTCAAGACCACCCAAAAGTTTTGTATTTTGAAAGTTCATTCCCGCAAAAGTTTATATATATATATATATATTAATGTTAATTCTCAAAAAAAAAAAAAAAAATTTCCATCAATATTATATCATCAACAAAACAAAGTGCGAATGTAAGTAAATATTGTTGCGGGTAGAGTAATTTTTCAGAAGCAGATGGTTGCGGTTCTAAACGTTATTAAGCATTTTGAACGACTGGTTTAACGGTTGTGTTTGCGAGAGTTTTATGACTAGTTGACCAACAAATGCGACAATAGTTAAGCAAAAAATTACCAAAATAAATATAAAATAAATATAAAAAAAGATATATATGAAAACAAAAAAAAATTATATTATTATGATAAGATATTTAAAATTGAATATGATTAACAATGAAAACCATTAAATAGTACTAAATAATTATTTAAATATAAATAAATTTTGAAAAACCTAAAAAATGATTCACATTCAAAGATAAGTGTTTAAACACTAACAAGAATATATGTAGGGCTTCATTTATTTGTTCTTCACGTGATTTTTTAAGCCACCTACCGCTTGCAACCGCCATCACTTGTTGCGGAAAAGAGATTTTCAAATGTAACGATTTAAAACGGTTAAGAGTGGTATAAAAAGGAATCAACCACAAGTGTCCGCAAACGCTAAGTTTGATGGTTGTTGCGAGAGAACCAATAAAGCCCTTAATTAGGGTGTGTCGGTTCATTTTTTCCTTATAGAGACATAAAGCAGTTTTATGGAAAAATGGTCCATTTCCTAATGAGAAATATCACATCATAACAGATAGAGCCCAAAATTTAACCCCGGTCCTAATATCCTTGAAATGGAAGTTCTACTCCTATTTCCCCCGAATTGAAAGTTCAATACCTAAATGTCCCCGAGTCTGGGTTTCGTCGGTTTGGTGCATATATATGAGACCAAACTATATATTGGTCGTAACTTAACCAGTAGAAACCCGATTCCTTATTAAAACTCGACCCAATATGTGTTTAAACCCCAAAATTCTAAATCTCCAAATTTCGAAATACCCAACTCAAGAATCCTAAATTCCCATATTTCGATTTGAAACCTAGAATTCGAGTTGCAAGAGGAGCAATATATCAATGAGTTCGACGGGATCTACGGTCCTTGTGGAAGAGGCAGAGTCGTTGCGGTACAAAAGAGATGTTGGTGCAGGGAAGATATTGTGGCACTAATTCTGAAATCCGATCCCAATCCTTGTCGGAGATACTATCGTTATGGTTTTGCTGCAAAACATAAGGTAATTTCATGCCTCTGTTTCAACTATTTTGAATTGCATCTTTTTTTATATCGATCAATGACTGTTAATTTATAGCTTAGGAACGATGAACACACGTTCAAATGGGTTGATGAAGCCTTGTTCAATGAGATAGAGACATTGAAAGAAAAGAATGGTGAACTTGAGCAAGAGCTGAAAGAGCATAAAACAAAGAGTTTGGAGTTTGAGAAGATGGTTTGTGAGAAGGTCCAACTGAAGATAGAGAAGGAGATATTTGAAAGGTGAAAGATGCTTTGTCTAAAGCCAAAAAAAGCACTAAGAAGATGATGATTGTCGTAGTGATAGGGTGTATGATCATGATTGGATTCAATAAACTAATCGGATGAACCATTGATCACATCACTGTTTTTGTTGTGTTTGTTGAATGTCTTGGTTTTGGTTCTAGTTTTAGATTTATGATTAAGATAATGGTTTTTTCATTTTAGATTTATGATCAAGACATTATGTACTATTGAATGGTGTTTGTTTTGGATTAAGAGAATGGTGTTTTCTTCGGATTCGTTTCAACAAAAATTTTGGTCATGATGTGTATTTAAGATTGGTCATAATAGCATTTTCCATTCACCAGACCAAACCTAGATAACAAAACATTCATATATATTTCTCATTTTATATTCTAAAAATCACATATTTGCACTTAAAAAAATCTCTAAAAATTGTGAAATCACGCATTATCATTTTCCGTGAAAATCATGAAATACGGAATTGCGTTTTTTTCCATTAAAAAGTGCACAATATTTGATTGAAAATTTTGGAATTGAGCTTTCCCACCAAAACTTTAAAATCGTAGAATTGTTGAACGAATTTTTTCTGCCAAATCATGTTTTCCTGTCAACACTGCAAAATCATGTTTTCTCACCAAAACCACAAAATTGAATTTTCCGCTAAAATTATATATTTTCCAAATCATGTTTTTCCGTAAAACCATAAAAATTAGTTTTTATATGTTAAAATAATATTTTAAAATTATTTAATTGTAAATATATATTAGAGCAATAATTAAATTAATATAGCTAAAATAAAGATTAATAATATGATTATATGAATGTATGGTTATATCAAAGTATAAGTTTTTTTGACATTTTCTTATGAAACTTATCTTATGGAAATAAATAAATATTTATAAAAATTTTGCAAATCAACAAAAATTCATTAAAATGCTCTATCCAAATGAATATCCAAAATGAAAACGAACAATATTTAGATGAATTGTCTGGAAGTAAATGCAAGATGATGAAATTGAACAAGCTCTAGTTTGTTCATATTTGTTTACCTTTTTTTTTTAATAGACATAAATTATTTTTAGTAATAAAAGTCTGTAAGCAGTAGCCACAAAACCATACAAATTAAATCCCACCAAAAAACAAAAAACCATACAAATTAAATCACGTGATAAAAAAAAGTAAATATTACAATGGATCAAGACCCAAGCCCAATATTGATCGCATTAAGAAATACCCAAATCGTGTAAATGATACGACACAATTCTACGACATAATGAAATTTTGTTGTGAACTGTGTCCTCTCATTAATAGAATAAGGGATATATATACAATGATAATAGCAGGATACATAGAATAAGGTAAAACCCTAATGGGCCATGGGCCGGTTATGGAGTCCATCCATATGGTTTATAACACTCCCCCTTGGAAGACATAACCGTGCCCGATACTAAACCGGGATCTCTATAATGCGCTGGGGAATGTTGCCTCATTAAAACCTTACCACGAAAACCCAGTGGGACAAAACCATGGTGAAGGAAAAAGAGTACAACACGCATTACTCCCCCTGATTTGAGCATCACTGTAGATCCTTAAGTCCGCGCATCCCGATCTGATGAATGAGCTTCCGGAACGTTGAAGTCGGCAATGATTTGGTGAATAGGTCGGCTGAATTCTCACTTGACCGGATCTGTTGAACTTTGACCTGACCGTCCTTCTATAATTCATGAGTGAATAAGAGCTTTGGCAAAATGTGCTTCGTCTGGTCTCTCTTAGTGTAGCCGTCCTTGAGTTGAGCAATACAGGCTGCGTTGTCTTTAAATATGATGGTCTTTGATGTAGTAGTAGTAGTAGTAGTAGTAGTATTAGTAGTAGTAGTAGTAGTAGTAGCTGCGCCTTAAGGAAGGCTGCCTACGTACCCTTGGAAGGGATCAAGCCACACGTAGTTCCTATTCATTGACCATGCCATAATCTGATCTTATGAATAACCTGCATCAGCAAATCAAACTAAACCAAAGCAAACTGGATCTTCTTTGGTTAGATCAGTATAGAATAAACCCAAGTAAACAACGCAGGAAGAATAAACTTTAAAATTTAACCAAACCTTCCTTTAAACCTTTCCAGTGCCTTTGGGTTGATCATGAACTAAATTTAGACAGGAGACTCACGGCAAAACAAATGTTTGGTCTAGTGTGTCTAGCCAAATTCATTAGAACTCCTATGGCACTGAGGTATGGTATTTCCGGACTGAATGGATCACTATCCAATTTGAGGCTTCTCACCACCATTGGGCCTGGTCAATGGGCGGGCCTGGTCCTTATTAAATTTCCTTGAGTACTCTTTCAGTGTATGCTATTTGATGCACAAGGATTCTATTATTCACGTACTCAGGTTGTAATCCCAAACAGAACTTAATTATTGCCTAGGTCTTTCATTTGAGATTCTTTCTTTAGATATACTCAACTGTTTGGGCGATTATCCAGAGGTTTAAATCATTCATATACACTGCTATGATTACAAATCCTTTGTTTGCAAACTTCTTGATAAAAATACATGGACTGATCGGATCGTTTTTATAGCCTTCTCTGATGAGATATTCACTTAACCGGTTATACCACATATGTCCGCTTTGTTTCAGTCCATATAAGGATTTGTCCAGCCTTATGCAGTGCTGTTCTCGAGAATCTTTCTTATCTTTGAGCTCAATACCCTCTGGTAATCTCATATATTATCCAGTGGACTTATATAAATATGCAGGCATTACATCCATTAGCCGCAAATCTTTCTCTTTTATATAGCCAGACTTAGCAAAGATTTAAATGTCTTAGCATCCACCACAGGGGAGAATATCTCCTCTATTTCTGGTCTTTGTGTGAATCCTTGTGCGACAAGCCGTGTCTGATATATTACGCTTTCACTATGTTTATTTCACACAATCACAAAGACTCATTTGTCCCACTGGCTTTACATTGAATGGTGTCCTTTGTATTGGACCAAACACATTCTTCTTCTTAATGATTCTTAGCTCCACGTTTTATGGTCTTGTACCATTTTAATCAATCAGGTCTTTGAGTGCACTCTAGTATAGACGTGGGCTCCTGATCCTCATTCATTTCAGTTGCTACGTTGTGCGCAAATATATTATCATTTATGTCGACATTTTTTCGGTTCCATTGTATTCTAGACATGATATAGTTTATAGAGATCTCTTTACACCTTCAGGACCTTGAGGTTTGGCGTCCCAAACCTCATTGATTGGTACCTTGGGGTTATGTCTATTAGCTGGCCATGTCTATGGTTTCTTGAACCTTCTCGGTTTCCCTTGCTCCTTTTTTTGATTTCCGAGGGTTCTTGTCTTTGGAACCTTTTAGGTCTACCACGTTTCTTACGTGTTATAGCAACTTGATTGTTTTCCTTGTGAACATCAATACGTACTGGTGCATTACAAGCTGGTATGTACGATTTTGTTACTCTCTTTGGGTCATTATAGGAATCTTGGCAACTGTTTTAGCTAGCTTTTGCAGATATATAGTCTTTTGGATCTCTGATGGAGTCTGAGGATCTTGCCATGTGAAGGATGTTTGATTCCATGTAAGTTCTTTGACCAGCTTGTTAGTCTCTCCACCCAGTGTTGGGAAAACGGATTCATTGAGATGACAATCCTTGTATGTGGCCTTTGGCTCGAGATACTTAATGATGGTGGGAGAATCATTTTTAACGTATATTCCCATCCCCTTTTGAGGTCCCATCATTTGCTCTCTGTGGTGGTGCTATGGGTAAATAGGTGACACACCGAAATGTCTTTAGATGGGAAACGTCTGGCTCATGACCCGTTAGCAATTGGGATGGGGAATATCTATGTTCACTAAATGGCCGAATGCGTATTAATTCAACAGCGTGTAAAACTGCATGTCCCCAAGCTGAGACCGGAAGCTGCGACCTCATGAGTAATGGTCGAGCAATTAGTTGATTTCGTTTAATGAGGGATTCAGCTAATCCGTTCTGTGTATGGACATGTGCCACATGATGTTCCACACTTACCCCCATGGCCATACAATAGTCATTAAATGCTTGGGAAGTGAATTCACCAGCATTATCTAAACGTATGGTCTTAAGAGGAAAATCTGGAAAATGGGCTCGCAATCTGATCATTTGGGCCAATAACCTAACAAACGCTTGGTTCCTAGAAGACAATAGGCAAACATGCGACCAGCGGGTCGATGCATCGATTAAAACCATGAAGTACCGAAATGTTCCACAAGGTGGATGGATCGGACCACATATGTCTCCTTGAAGTTGTTCTAGAAAATGTAAGGTCTCTTTAGACACTTTGACTGGTGAAGGTCGAGTGATAAGCTTCCCTTGTGAACAGGCTATGCACGTGTGGTGCTTAGGGAAAACTCGGTTTTCTTTAAGGGTGTGCCCTTTAGAACTTTGAATTAATTTACGCATCATATTCGAACCGAGCTGGCCAAGCCGGTCATGCCATTAGTGAATTTCTCAGTAAACCCTTATTTGTTTACTTTATTAGCCTTTATCATATTGACCTTGGCATAGTATGGATCTATGACGCGGGTATAGTCTCTAAGACCTTCTCATGGTCTTGGGTGCTCTTAGTAATATATGGGAATCCTTTGTTCCCTTCACCCTTAGTTTCAATGTGAAACCATTCAAACACTTTTCTTTGAAACTCAACAAGGCCCCTTTGAGCTGGGTGAATATGAAGCATCTGAGGATGCGTGCCCTTGGGAATATGGGCCTGCCATGGGCCTGCCCTTAGCCTTCACTAAATTTAGCTATAACCGCAATTTGGCTAATCAACCATGTCTTTGGATATTTCGTTGGCATTCCGAAGTCTCATAGTCATCTATCTCATGGTCAAAATCTTCTTCACCATTGTGATGAAATGAGCTTCTAGATTCTTTTCAAACTCTCTTTATAGAGATCAATGAGATGCTTAGGAGTCATGCACGTCTTAGTCCAATGGTTTCCCCATTCCTCATCAATGGCAAACAAGTTTATTTGAGTGTTGTGGTTTGGGTATACCACGGCCTCTAACTCGATTACGACCAAAGTCGGGTCGGCGGCCTTAACCATATGAATGGTTTCCTTGATCATATAAATTATAATTGCCATGATACTTATCTCTTTGGACGTGGTTAGACTCTTTAGTCTCTTTAGGCTCTTCAGCCTTAACCATATGAATGGTTTCCTTGATCATATAAATTATAATTGCCATGATACTTATCTCTTTGGACGTGGTTAGACTCTTT